TGACTGAAGATCAATGGTCTCAAGTTGCAGCAAGAGGGTGGTGAAGTACTGGAACGGGTTAAATACGGAGGTGGTGGAATTTCCATCCCTAGGTGTTTTTAAGTCCTGGCTTGACAAAAGCCCTGGCTGGGATAATTTAGTTGGGATTGGTCCTGCTTTTAGCAGGGGGTGGGGGAGTTGGATTTGATGACTCTTCATAAATTATGTGTTCCTGCCTCCTAATCATTTTTACTGCCCTTTGCTGGACTCTCTCCAATGCATCCACATCATTTTTGTAATGGGGAGCCCACATGCAATACTCCAGATGTGGCCTCACCAGAGCCAAATAAAGGGGAATAACCACTTCCCTAGATCTGCTGGCAGTGCTCCTACCAATGCACTCCAATATGCCATTTGCCTTCTTGCCTACAAGGGCATGCTGTTGATTCATATCCAGCTTCTCATCCAGTGTAATCCACAGGTCCTTTTCTGCAGAACTGTTGCTTAGCCTGTCATTCCTCAGCCTGTAACAATGCTTGGGATTTTTCTGTCCCAAATTCAGGGCTCTGCACTTGTCCTTGTTGAACCTCGTCAGATTTCTTTTGGCCCAATCCTCCAATTTGTCTAGGTCTCTGTGGACCCTATCCCTACCCTCCAGAATATTTACCTCTCCCCCTACCTTAGTGTCATCCACAAACTTTCTGAGCATCAAATACATCCCCTCATCCACATCATTAATAAAGATGTTGAACAAAACCAGCACCAGAACAGACCCTTGGGTACTCCACTTGATACCAACCAGACACTGAGATGTTGATCACTACCCATGGAGCCTGACAATTTAGCCAGCTTTCTATCCACCATCTCAGATTCCAACTTCATTTACAAGTCTTTCCCCATGTAGGAGATGATTTATCCCTTGTTCCTTTTTATCCTTGCCCCCCTCAAAACACTCCAAGGTATTAGTCCAGATGATAGAAAAATAACCTGAAAATTTTGATTTGAAAATGCAAGGTTGTATTTGAGTTCAAGCATTCTAATTGAATGAAAATATGACAGGTTGAACCTTTCTAGTCCTACATTCTCTGGCCTGGCAACATTTGTGGTCCAGCATGATTTTTAGTTAGCGAAGTATCCACTTATCATGGGTAATTTCCTGTAGTCCCATAAATTTCCTGTAGTCCCATAAATGTTTTTTACCTCCACCAGTCCTGGCTGTCAGTTCTAAGCTGCTTTTTAGCTCTCATTTATCCCTAAGGGTGTGTCCAGACTACAGTGTTTTTTCGACAAAAGTGGACTTTTGTCGTCAAAACTATACATATGTCTAGACTACTGCTGAGTTCTGTTGACAGAATGTCAACAGAACGCCACAGTTTTGTTGACGACAGTAAACCTCATTCTACAAGAAATAATGCCTTTTGTCGACAGAGTTCTGTCGACAGAGGGTGTTATTGCATCTACACTGTCCTTTGCGTCTACACTGTCATGTCAACAAAGTGGCTTGCTTTGTCGACAGAACTGGCTGTAGTCTAGATGCTCTTTGTGGACAGAGACCTGTAGTCTAGATGTACCCCAAGTGTCTTCTAAGAGCCTAGTAGGCAGCGGAAGTGATGGTCATTCTGCTAAACAATATTGACTTCCCATGCTTCGGCAAATTCTCTGGTTTGGCACCAGTTAGGTCCTCAGGGTGCCGGACTAGAGAGGTTCAACCTGTACCTGCTAATTTTTAATTTATACATTAAAATTAAAGGCTTTTTTTAGATTTACTGAAATAACTAATTTCTAAAGAAACTTGCCAGTTTTCAGTCAGGAACAGATTTTCATTACTTTGGTACATAAGGCGTTAAAAATTGAAATTTCAAAAGAGAATGCTGGCAGAATTTGGAGTGAAGAGTAAGTGTCATGAGAAGGAAAATTTATGTAGTGCATTCTACAAAACAGAAATACTATTTCTATTATAAACAAGTAAAGTGAAAGATTACTGCTGACACATTCTTTAAGGAGAAACACAAAGCAATTATCCTCTGATGTCATGGAAGATTTACAAGAAGGTCAGTTAGTTTCTCTAGGCTGCATCATTAAAATGTAATAAATGATCCAAAAACAGAGGGAGGTTGTTGCTTTAGGATGCTAATTTTCCAAATCATGGTTAAAGCTGTAAAATAGTTTTAGCAAAGCTTTATATCTTCTAATGACAACTTCTGAAATAAAATATAAATTCAATTACATGAAAAGTTACTTAATAATCAGATTATAGTGAAACAACAGATTGACAGAGCCAGATGAGTAGCCAGGCATCAGCTTCTTCAAGACAGGCCCAACAAAGGAAATAACAGAACACCACAGTTCATCAGCTACAGCCCCCACTTAAACCCCTCCAGCACAACATTAACAATCTACAACCTATCCTGGAAAATGACCCCTCATTCTCACAGGCCTTGGGGGACAGGCCAATCCTAGCCTACAGACAATCCCCTAACCTCAAACAAATTTTTTCGAGCAACCATGCAGCACATCTCCATCATACTCATCCAAGAACCCACCTCTGCAATCAACTCCGGTGCCAACTCTGTCCACACATCTATACAAACAACATAATCACAGGACCTAACCATATAAGCCACCACATCAGAGGCACATATAACTGCACATCCACCAATGTGATCTATGCCATCAAGTGCCAGCAATGCCCCTCTTCTATATATATTGGCCAAACTGGACAGTCTCTAGGACAAAGGCTTACTGGACACAAATCAGATATTTGAAATAGTAACACACAGAAAACTGTTGGGGAACATTTTAATTTGCCTGGGCACTCAATATTATTACAAGGCAATGTCAAAAACCAGCTGGAGAGAGAAGCTGCAGAATTTGATTTAATTTACAAGTTTCACACCTGCAATAGAGGTTTAAACAAAGACCCTAACTGGATTGCCTGCTAGATTCCACACCCAATGACCTAAAAAACCAAGCACTGGGTACTTGGAGTACTTAACTCATTCATCTGAAGAAGTGGCTTGTGCCTACGAAAGCTCATGATACCATCTACATTTTTATTAGTCTCTAAGGTGCTGCAAGATAATTTTTTTAAGTTTATCTCAACATTGCACAGTGCTGCCAAAAGAGATATTCATTTTCCTTCTCCATGCATAATGAGCCAATCATCACAGGATCTTTGCCAGTCCTGACCGAGGCTGGGTTTCGCATTGCACCAGCCCCAGCTGGAGCTGCGCTTCACACCTCACTAGCTTCAATAGGGCTGCATTCCTGGCCGCTGCTCCAGCTGAGGCTGTGCTCCTTGCTGCCAGCCTTGGCCAGGTCTGCGCTCCCCACTGTGACAGCCCCACTGGGGATGTGTTCTGCATTAGCAGCTCAGTTCGGCTGCATTCTGAAACTGGGCAGCCAGGGCTGTCTGGCCTAGCAATATCCATGGTCCTGCCCAACCACGGATGTTGCCAGACCAGAGAATCCCAGATTTTAGAGGTTCAACCTGTAGTATAGTTAGCATTTGTGGGCAGAACCCACTTCCTCAGGTGAGATGATCTTGGGTGTGGGTTTTAAGGAGTTCCTGATTAAATTATCAAATAAAACTCACAGAAATATAACTAATTCTACCTTCAGACATCCATTCATCATCCCTGAAGGTTGCAAAAGAGTCAACCAGGGCAGAATTTGGCCCAGGAACCATGCCAGTTTTAACCCCCTTCCCGCTTCAGAAAAAAAGCATCAAGGTTAAAATAAATAAGAAGCTTCTATAGTTGTCCAGCAAAATCCATAGAATTGAGTCTGTATTATAGTCACCACTACAGGGTACCCACCATATCGCATTGGTTCTGTGGAACCAGTATTCTGAGAGTATACATTGTGAATCCAGTAACATGATGTTTCAGAGAAGAAAAAGGTGGTGAAAAGAGTGACGGATCAGTAAGAGATGATAAGGCATTGCCTGCCTTTTGGCTATGTATTTCTTTCTGAGCTAACACACACTGGCTTGGTGGAGTCACTGTAGAATACAAGTCAGCAGCTTTTGGGGGTGGTAAACTTATTCTATAAAAATGTTGATGTTCAAACTAAAAGAAAAATCAATGCATTTGTACCTGCCGGTTAGCGTATGTGTTGTCGCCCCCAGGGCTCCCTCCCTCAAGGGTCCCCACCCCCTCCTCAAGGGTCCCCTCCCCTTGATTCTCATTCAAGCTGTGGCAAGTCAACCTTTCAGTTCTGTGGTTCAGTCCCTGGTACCATGATCATCACATAATTGGAGTCTTGTCTAGAACTACTATGAGATGAACTTTGAGTAAATAAGTTTTTGAGTTAAGTCCCTGATTTGCCAAAGATAGAGTTCTGTTAGGCTATGTCTAGACTGTAGGCTTCTTTCGGAAGAAGCTTTTCCAGAAGAGTTCTTCCGAAAGAGAGCATCCACACTGCAAAAGCGCATTGAAAAAGTGATCTGCTTTTTCGAAAGATAGCATCCACACTGAATGGACGTTAACTTGCATGTGACCTGTGATTACTATGGTCAGAGTGGCCACCAGGGCACCTGTGCTTTTTCCTCTTTCCTCTTCCTTCGAAAGAACTCCCTTGTCCCTGTCCACACTCGCCTTTTTCAAAAAGAGCTCTTTCACAAAAAGGCTTCTTCCTTGTAGAATGAGGATTACCAATGTCTGAAAAACCCCTCTGTTCTTTCGATTTTCTTTCTTTTGAAAGAACACAATTGCAATGTGGATGTAACTCAAGTTTTTTCTCAAAAACGGCTGTAGTGTAGACATACCCTTAAAGAAGCTGGCACTTTAGCTCAAGCTAAAGATACTCGTGCTTTTGTCTCTGGAAGACCCCAATTCAATTCCTAACATGCCAGCCATGTTGATGTGGGTCACACATCCATTCACTTTTCAGGGTTCTGTCATTCTGTGTTCCTTATAATCTGTTATTGTACAGAAAAAAGGAGAGGAAAAAGCTTCTAGAAACAATACTGAAATATTTACATTAAAGGAATTTTATTCTTATTTTGCTCTGAAGTAAAACAACATTGAAATGAAAACTCTGGGTTTTGGTAACTAGTTTTGTTATCACTTTGGCATTGCTATGGTTAGTACAGAATAAGGCTAATGTGGCTGCAGTGTTTCAGTATAGACATGATTACTATATTTTATTGGTGTTTTACAAATGCTTGCGGTCAAGAAAAAATGGTGTTCCACTTCAAGGACATATTGCCTAACAACACCTTACTGCTATGGACTCTGCCAACCACTGTCTCTTGATTTGACATCCTTTCAGTTCCACACAGTTATGAAAACACAACTATAGGATTTCAAATCTGCTGTGCCTGATCCTTAGTCATATTTCATTTGATGTACACCAAAGAGTACATAAACATGAAATTACATATTGCATTCAAATGCTAGCCTGATCGGAGGGGATGATAGTGTATACCATTCAGGAGAAGCAGATTTTATTGCTGCATTATTGGTAAATAATGTAAAGTATTCAACATGCATAATGAATCAAAGCTGACAAGTTTTGTTTGCATTGTTTATGGAAATTGTATTTACATTGAACTCCATGCTCCTGACATCCAAGCTTGGATAAGGTAATAGTTTGAAGTGTTTGGCCCACGAGCACAATGCTAATGTAAAAAGATGTGGAATCCAAAGTCAGAGGAGATGTAGACTTAGCAGCTGATCAGAGGCTGATTAGTAAAGATGGTGCAACTCTCAGCTGATTGCCACCAGCATTAATCATAGGACTGGAAGGAACCTCAAGAGATCATCAAGTCCAACCTCCTGCACTCATGGCAGGACCAAGCACCATCTACACCGTGCTGCATTGAGAGACACATCATGACTCATGTGAAATAAGAGGAAGAACTCATTTTGGGCATAGAGACACAAAGAGCCTCTCTAAAGTGGTGTTGGAGCTGAGCTTTTTAACCAGAATCTCCTCCAGGAGCTGACTTTTACAAATGACATTTACTAAGAAACCCAAAGAGCATTAAATAGAAACAGTCTCTTGAGCTATGTGATCTCTGCATGGTAATGGATCCTAGTTCTACATCAGGCAGATTTCTATAGGGGAAGGTCAGGCAGTTACAGATCTTCTCCTACCCAGAAATGTCACTTGCACAGCATTGGAGTGTGACTCTTTCCATGCTGCACAACATCCTAGCTTTATTCTCTATTCCCACTACCATCATTGTCAGCTGCTATAAATCCACTTCAAGGAGCTCTAGGATTTTCTTGTGTGGCAAGGATAGGGAGGAAAGAAGGGACATGAAGGGCTCTTGGAAGTTTTCTTGACTGGGTTTGTATTAATGAAACTAGGTCTGGGACCCTAGAAACATCTCTTGATTGCCATAGTGTGGTGATTTGGGAAAGGAACCCTACCACAGATCATAAATCAACATGGGGCAAGAGAATACTCTGCATTCTTTTTGGTTTTTAAAGTCATCAGACCTCATAGACCTCATAATCCCTCCCTACTTCTACCTGGTTGAGTTCAAGTTAACTGAGTGCTAAGTATTATTTATTTATCGTTATGAATTTTGAGCTATGAGAGCCTCTGGGTTTTTTCCAGTTCACGATATTTAATCAGTTGAATGAGAACTTGCTTCCCCATTAGCATGTCAAATCCCAGAATATGTTCACTGGAGTCTTCTGAAGTCATTCCCAGGAGCAAGGAGGGTGGATGTACTGAGAAAGGGATAGAATCAGAAAGGGATATTCTGCTGTGACTTAGAATGCTGATTCCTCACCCTCTGAATACATGGAACACTCTACAGATGCCAAGTTTTGTGGCCTTTGGTTTTTCTGTGACTCAGCAACCCCAGAGGTACATTTCTGCTAGGCTGTGGGTCCCAACAGTCTTTGCATGAACAGCTGATAACAAGGGAACATTCTATAGTGTTGCATTTCATATCTTGAAACCAGTTCTGCTTATATCGGACAGACTTTGTTTTCTGAAACTGACAACTGAGCAAAAGAACGGCAGCTCCTCTGTTCTTCCTCGTTTCTCCTGTTTGAAAGCATGATATGTGCTGCGATTGTGGACACTTCACCACCACCTTTGTCTTGGGTAAGCACCACTCTATCCAAAGTTGGGTTCATATTGGACTCTACAGTCTCTTGATCACTGCATCTGAACAGCTGAATGAGACACCTTCTGAACTAGAATGATAAAATAAAGAAGATTAGCTTTTTTTTAAAGTTATCAGGAAATTTAAAACATTTCTGTGAGGCAGCTTGTATTTTGTCAGAAAACATTTGAAAACCTTCGCATGAATCAACATTTCAGGATAGGAAATGTATGGAAATAGCTGTCATAACCCTGAAATGTTTAAATTTGTAGTGGAAACAAATAATTGTTGTCATGCCAAGAAACAATGATGTTTGAAGGGATAAAGTCAACTAGAAAATTATATTTTAAAAAAATCATTTAACCCTCTGTGATGCTGCTAATATCCCCTTACAAAGATCAACATGGAATTGATTATCCAATCAGATTTGTAATTTCACCAGTTTCACAACTTGTTTCTATTAGCTAATTCCTAGGAAGATTGAGAAGGATTGTTTATATATCCTGACATTTCTGTTCACATATAAAAGCATGGTGACATCATCATATTCCTGTCCACTCTAGAAGCCTAGTGTATGCAGTCAATAGCATATGAAGAGAGTGGTTGCTCCTCTCTCTCCAACAGTTGTAAGTACCAGTAAATGCATCGGCTTCTCTTTCATTCTCTCAGCTTAATACAACTTCCTATTTCAAGTACTGTCTTTTTTACTTTATTGTAATAATACACACTGCATTCTGATTTTAGTACCATAACCGCCTGCTATTCGTCCCATATACTATTCCATTCCACTGAGTTTCTTATTACTGTATCCATTATCAGCATTAAGCACCTGCCAGTCAGATTTCTTCCTCTTGTCAGCCTTTCTTCAACTTCTGATACTTCCCATGGAACCAATCACACCCCCAATTCCCGCAAAATGCTATCTCATATACCCCCTCACATACCGCCACACTCATTTTCCCCCCTCTCACAAATTCTGAAAAACACCCCAACATTGCCTCTCCATGTATACACTTCACAACATCTACCAATATTGCAATGCCCACAAAACGACAAAAGTTGAACAGGAGAATCTTGCAAACTGAATTCACATTAAGGAACTACAATAATTCAGTAAGGTATTTTTCAGTGCTAACTTCTAGAACTACTGCTAAAAGTATTAATATTAATTAATATTTAACATCTATCATGCAGCCATGCTTAGCCCAGCCAGCTCATGAACCCTGATGTACAATTTGAGTCTACAATACATAATATAAGTATTATGGGTATAAGTATTTGGGTTATTTTAATTCTGGATTATGTGTCATATAAATGGAGCAGTATTTTTTAATTAATATATAAATAGATGTTAATTATTGTAACAATTCTATTCATTCAGGAGTGAGTCAAATACACAACAAAAATATGAGTATTAAAGGTGTACGTTACCTGCTTGTTCATAAAGACATAAATAATCGGATTATAAACTGTAGCTGTTTTGGAAAAGAAAGCTGGGATTGCGGCCAGACGAGGATCCAGCTCAATGGAAGGACATGCAGTGACAAGAATGGAAAAGGCTGCATATGGAGACCAGCAAATTAGAAATGCAAGGATCATAATAATAACCATGCGAGTGACTTGTCTTTCCGGTTTCCTTGTTGTCCCCAGTCGGCCTTGAGTATCTGACACCTTTGAAGAAAAACATATAAGATTCCAGAAAATTTGGTAGAAAATAATATTGATGTATTGTAGAGCAAATGGCTTGACCCCACCTAGATTTGTTATTTTGTTATGAAATACACTAAACAGACCAAATAACCAGTGTCAGTCAGGTTTATGAATATGGTAGAGGGAAAAGGATCTCTCTGACAGCAGTCTCAGGAGAGCAATCCCACACAGTGATGTTACATTCTTCTTATGTAGCAGGTGTGCTCCCTGAAGTTACATCCCTAAAGCCATCATTTTATACCCTACCGTTTGCCAGCAAAAGCTACTAGGAATGTCAGCTGCAACTGCATTCAATTGATCAGCTTTTTACCGTTTTTGTTTTGGTATTATGGGGGTGCCCCTTTATCTTTTGTTCCTGAATTCCAGGTCATGATGTATCCTTATCTTTGTTCTGAACTCTCACATTCAAGGCATCAAGAGGCATGAAGACACCTCATAGGTTTGTGTGGGTAACTCCTTTCCTGTTGCCATCGGTCCTGACACTGTTTTCCTATCTATTCAAGCCAAGGCTTGCTTCAGCGCATGCAAGTTGTTATGGGATACTTACCATAAGTGTACAGGATTATAACAAAGACACAGGCCAATTTGGGTTAAATAACTGCTATACTAAAGCTTAATACTGTGTAAATTTAAATGCCTGGGCTATATATTGTGGGTAGTATTATCAGTATAATATATATCAGTGGTCCCCAAGGCAGTGCCCATGGGCGCCATGACGCCCGCCGGGCCATTTCTGTTCGCCCACAGAGTGAACGGTGCCGGCCCCGCCCCCGGGCGCACAGCGCATGGGCGGTGCTGGCCCCCTGGGTTATGGCGTATGGGCAGCGTCGGCCCCGGGCGTGCAGGACAAGGGCAGCCCCGCCCTCAGGTGCGCCATGTTTAGGTGGCCCTGCTCCCGAGTGCACGGTGCAAGGGCTGTGCCAGCCCCGGGCACGCATCACAGGGGCGGCCCCGGCTGCGGGCGTGCGGCACAGGAGTAGTGCCGCCCCCGGGCGCACAGCACATGGACAGTGCCGGCCCCGGGCGTGCAGCGTTTGGGTGGCCCTGCCCCCGAGTGTGCAGTGCAAGGGCTGTGCCGGCCCTTGGGCACGCGGCACAGGGGTGGCACCGGCCCTGGGCACGAAGCATAGGAGCAGCGCTGGCCCTGGGCATGCAGCACATGGGCAATGGCGGCCCCGCCCACAGGCATGCGGCGCATGGGCTGTTCCGGCCCCGGCGCACGGCATATGGGAAGCCCCACCCCCGGCGCGCAGCACATGGGTGATGCCAGCACCAGACACACGTCATATGGGTGGCCCGGCACCCGGCAGCCCCAAAAGGTTGGGGACCGCTGATATATATGAATGCTAGCCAGCATATATTAGTTAATAGTTAGAAACAAGGACACAGATCAGTAAATCGAGTAAGAAAACAATCTGTTTCTAAAAGACAAACTGTAAAGTTGCAGTTACTAGATCTTAACATGTCATATGTACTCAGTGCTAATGTGAATTACAAATATTATCATTATTAAAAGTTTTGAGGTTTTAAAACTGTCTTTGATTACAAAATACAGGTTGTACCTCTAAAATCTGGGACTTTCTGGCCTAGCAACATCTGTGGTCTGGAAGGACCACAGATATTGCTGGTCCAGTGAGCCTGGCTGGCCCAGTTCAGGGCTGGTCTGGTGGTGGGGACCACAGCCCCATAAGTAGCCGGCGTTGATGTAGCAGGGAACACAGCCCCACCATGGAGCACAGCCCCAGCAGCAGTGGGACCAGCACAGTGGGGAGCATAACCACACCTGGGCCAGAGGCATTGGGGCCAGCAACCAGGAGCACTGCCTGGACCAAAACACAGACTCAGACGGAGTCAAACTATGTCTAGACTATGAAGTTTTTTGCAGAAGAGCAGACACTGCTCTTTCGGAAGCCCTGTCTTCCTCGTTAAGACACTGCTCTTTCAGAAGCCCTGTCTTCCTCGTTTCATGAGGAAGAAGGGTTCTTCCGAAAGAGGAGGTTTTTCCAAAATTTGGCTCAGTGTAGACGGGCCAAATTTCAGAAAAGCCTCTTCCGAAAAAAACAATCAGAAAAAGGTACACAAATTGCAGAGTCCTGGATTTTAGAGGTGCAATCTGTACTTTGTTATCAAAGACAGACTTTAAAACCTCAGTCAGTCAAGTCCACAGGTTGACTATGTACTGCATGAAGAAAAACTTCCTTTTGTTTGTTTTAAACCTGCTACCTATTTACTTCATTTGGTGACTCCTAGTTCTTATCTTATGAGAACAAGTAAATACTTTTTCCTTAATCATTTTCTCCAACAGTTGATTTTATAGACCTCTATCATATCCCCCCTTAGTCTCCTCTGTTCTAAGATGAAAGTCCCAGTCTTTTAATCTCTCTTCATATGGGACCCGTTACAAATCCCTAATCATTTTTGTTGCCCTTTCCTGAACCTTTTTCAATTCCAATATATCTTTTTTTCAGATGAGGCAACCATATCTGTATGCAGTATTCAAGATGTGGATGTCCCATGGTTTTATATAGCAACAATAATATGTTCTGTATCTTTATTCTCTATCCCTTTTTTAAAGATTCCTAACAGTCTGTTTGCTTTTTTGACTGCTAGTACACATTGAGTGGATGTTTTCAGAGAACTATCCACAAGGACTCCAAGATCTCTCTCTTGAGTAATTATAGCTAAATTAGTCCCCATCATTTTGTATGTATAGTTTTCCCAATCACTTAGTTTTGTGAGATCTTTTTGAAGCTCTTCACAGTCTGCTTTGGTCTTAACGGTCTTGAGCAGTTTAGTATCATCTACAAATGTTGCCACCTCACTGTTTACCCCTTTCTCCAGATCGTTTAGAAATAGGATGAATAGGATTGGTCCCAGTACAGACCCTTGGGGGACACTACTAGTTGCTATTCTATATTCTGAAAATTTACCATTTTTCCTACCCTTTGTTTTCTGTCTTTTAACCAGTTATCAGTCCATGAGAGGACCTTCCTTCTTATCCCATGACAACTAACTTAACTAAAGAGCTTTTGGTGAGGGATACTGATAATACAAATGTGAGGGATCTTGCCAAAGCTTTTTGGTTGTTAAGCCATGGTGGCACTTTTTTTCGTTCTCTTACTGTGTTTTTTAATTTGGGGCATACATTTAAGGTGGGCCTCTACTAAGGTTCAGCAATGTAGAGTCTGAGCAAGTAGGAATAAAAAGAGCATTAATGGGTTACATTATACATGTATTTTCTGAACTCTTTATTGCTTTTACTTGAGTATCATAGTAAACTTGTGTGTTGTTAAATAATTAAATGGGAAGTGTGCTAACTCTGAGTGGCATTAGAAACCCTGGAGCCTAGTTAATAATAAATGAAAGAACTTCTACTTTATTAGGTTCCAATATCTTTGCTTACCAAGTCTCATGTTGGGCAGCCTGAGGAAAGGGAAGTGATGACACATGACAAAGTAGATTCAGCTGAACTGCTACTGCCCCACAGTTTCCACTGTTATTTTGGCATTTAGGGGTAGAGTTTTATAGGTATTCATGCTCCAGAAGGTACAGATAGCACCTAATAGCATTTTTAAAAGCACCAAGGCATCTAACTCCAAGCAGGAATTGCTTTAAGTTTTGCAGCATATGTTTTTCCACCTGCATTAATTGCAGTTCCTCTTGACTTAGCATGGATGATTTTGTTCTTTGAATTAAAAAATTGAATATGAAAAGAGTCTGGTTTACTGCTGTTATCCCTTTTTTTGCATTACATCCTGAAACTGACTGCTTGATTATAATAATGGATTTTCCTGTAAAAAATGGCTTTGGCATTCTGATTTTGTATAAGACTCCAAATTATTTAGTCCTAAAGTAAGTTTGGAAACCATTGTCAGGAGGAAAAGAGACATTCTGTGCTAAGACGTGTTTGAAATTATGGCAGTTTGCAATCAAGTATAGAGCCAATGAGTGAGATGAATTTAAACTATAACAATTAAGAGTACTTAATGGTAATGATGATACATCTTAAATAATAGTATTATATCCAACATTATTAATAATAGTGTGTAGGAGCCCTAACCATGGACTAGTGCTAAGCACTGTACAACACAGAACAAAAAGACAGACCTTGTCCTGAAGAGCCTATGGGTCTGTCTACACTACAAAGTTAAATCGAACTAACAGCCGTTAGTTCGAATTAACTTTGATAGGCGCTACACAGGCAAACTGCTAGTTCGAACTTAATTCGAACTAGCGGAGCGCTTAATTTCAACTAGGTAAGCCTCATTCTACGAGGACTAACGCCTAGTTCGAATTAAGTAGTTCGAATTAAGGGCTGTGTAGCCACTTAATTCGAACTAGTGGGAGGCTAGCCCTCCCCAGCTTTCCCTGGTGGCCACTCTGGGCACCACCAGGGAAATTCTTCTGCCCCCCTCCCAGCCCCGGAGTCCTTAAAGGGGCACGGTCTGGCTACGGTGCCCGTGCAAGGTGCAAGCCTGCCAGCACCCAGCCAGCAGACCCTGCAACCCACCCGCTGCCACCCAACCCTCCGTCTCTTCCCGGGACCAGGCTGGCAGCTCCCAGGAGCCTGCCCAGGGCTGCAAGAGGCGGGTGCCAGCCTGGTCTAGTGCGGACATCGTGGACCTCATCCAGGTTTGGAGGGAAGCCTCCAACGTCCACGACCTCTACACTAGGCACAGGAAAGTGGCTATCTAGG